AGACCTTATCTGGCTTGGAGACCTGCCAGGCCAATATCTGCAAAACTTGGCAAGGAATCTTGGGAGAGTCACAAACCAATTAAGCGAACTAATTGTCTCCTGCAAACTCCACTCCCCTTTTGCTCCTCTTTTATTTCCTCTGGGAGGGGGCATTCATCATCCACCTGTGGCCTTACTCTCAAGTTTACCCCGGTTCTTCAGCTGTTCCTTTCATCTGGGAACCCTGCCCATGCACACACTGGAAACAGTCTCCAGCTGTTCGACTGCCTCACTAATGTCTGACTCTGAAGGCAACTGATAACCGGCATATGGCTCTGGCCCCCTCTCTGCCTCCAGCACAGGGCCTTCATCAGAGCTTTCCCCAGACTCCAGGACTTGTTCCTCCCCAACCTCCTCGCTGTCCGAATCTGCTGCCAGCTCTGCTGACCACTGGCAGGCTGCAACACTAGTTCAGCATTCAGAAATGGGGCCAGAGTATGGAGTGACCCTGTCTCTAAGGGGCATCACAGCATATTGATTTGTGTCCTCGGTTGCTGAGTGGTTTTTTCTTCGTTCCCTGATTTGCCTTGTGAATTGAGCAGCTGTACAAGTTGAATAGGGCATGGCAGCTCAGCAGTTAAAGACACTGAGCTTATCAGCTGGAGAGCTGACAGCCTGAGTTCGAGACCTGAGGTCCATGCAACAGGGTGAGCTCCTATTCCAGTGATGGCGAACCTTTTTGTGCACGTGTGCCTACCCCCATAATGTAATGCTCCCCACGCCATGCCCCCTGCGTATGCACGTGTGACACCCCCCTGCTGCCCTGTGCATGCGCGCATGGCTTTCTTGGAGCTGGGGAAGGCAAAAATGGCCTCCCCCACCACCCGCACAGGCCGGAAACGGCCCGTTTTCCAACTTCTGGTGGGCCCGGTAGGTCCGTTTTTCGCCCTTCCCAGGCTCCAGAGGCTTTCTATCAGTTTGAAAGCGTGTAAATGCAAGCAGATTATTCGGTGCCACTAGAGTGGGACGGTAACAGTGTTCCATGAGCCTTTGGTGAAAAGTCATGCTGGCGATGTGGCCCGGGAAATTGTCTTTGGACAATGCCTCGGCCAAAAATGGAGATTAGCACCATGCTTTAGAGTTGGATATCACTGGAAAGCGAAACCATTACCTTTACGTTAACAAGTTCAATGACCAAACAAGCAAGCAAAACCTACAACATACTGGCTCTCTTAGGCATCTTGATAGTGTTGGAGATAAAGGAAACCCCATTCTTTTGTGCAATGATGAACAGATACTTGCTGAACAAAAGCTTAACACGTTTCCATACATAACAATATGTATACAATACAACACGGTGTGGCAAATATAAACATTTACAGCTTGGCTTCTAAAAGATTCTGAATGCATAAAGACATCATAAATTAGCAAAAGCACAAGAAGGGGGAAGCCAGAAAAGCTTTTAGCCTTGTTTTCTTTCTTTTCATTTGTTGCCAACTTTGCCTTGTTGTATGCACAAATAACAGGTAACAATAAGATAGAGAGCTCAGGATCAAGTTTAAGACAGAAACCTTCATTGTACAACAACAGTTCACTATTTATTAAGATTATATTCAACTTTGAACATAAAAATGTATTCAATTTTACATTTATTGGCATTGACTTTCCAAATTATAGTTAATATTGATATAATGCCTTTTCTTTTTTCTATCTTCAAACATCTCAATTGAACATTAGAGTATTAATAATCTGTATACTCAATATTGTATAAATGTCGCTATATCAAAATAATATAATGTATTACATATGTCTTATAATTTCACAATTTTTGAAAAAAAGAAGAAGCTTATATCGAATCCCTACCTTTAAAGTATAAGATAATCTTATTACCATCTATCTAAAATGATACATTTCAGTAAATATTTTAAATTTTATCTTCCCCCCCTAGAAGCGGTCTTGATATTGAACATTAAGTTCAGTATTTTTGGATTTGAACTATAGCTTTGAGAGACCCATACCAAACTAAATCAAAGGCTATCATTTTTAGAACAAGTATTATACATTTAATTATGGTCGACCTCTTAGACAATTACATATAGCTCCCAAAATCATAAACTTGTAGAAATTACTCATTTTCATTTTCACGTTTATCCCTTTGGGGAGCAATTCATATGAAGACTGAAAAGTGAAGAGCTTACTTTTGTTGGGTTCAGTGCAGGGGTGGGTTCCTGCCAGTTCTAACCTCTTCTATAGAAGAGGTTCCACAAATCTACAGTGCCGTTTAGAACCGGTTCCAGCTCCCTCCCC